GACTTCTCTTCTATACATACTATATCTTGCATCATGAGCTTCCTGTGGAACCACAGAAGACACCAGTCACCTTTTAAAATAGTACCCTTGGAAAAATATGCTGGACACCACTTATTTACCATAGGCACTTGGAAAATGTGGAGAAGGTGTAGAAACTGCCAGCAATGGAAGTAGAGCAGATGAAATAGAAATTGGAGCTTGTGTCCCCGGCAGTCCATCCAGCGGCTGAAGCACAAAAAAAGATCAATACACTCTTTGCTAATAATAAAAAACTATTACTAAGAACAACGATATCACCAAAAGCAATATCAATTTACATTTGCACATTTGAGTCTGCTTAACTTAAGCACAAAGTTACACATTCAAACTAGTTAAGCTTTAATTTGATAATTCAAATATTCTATAATTGTTTTAAGTTATTGATATACTTGAATCATGCATACACGTGTAAACTCTGTATCAGCAATAAAATGTCATTATAATTGAGAAACAATCATATTAACTAATAAGAAATCAAGAGACAGTGCGAACAAGAAGGAACAACAAAATCTCACAGCATAATAGATATTCCAGGCTAACTACTTCACTTAAGAAAAATTACTTTACGAGCATTTGGCTCTTTTTACAAGTATTGACAGAGCTTTGTCAAAGCATTTTTTTAGCATATTTGGTATGCATTGCTAGAGAAAAGATTCTTGCTTTGTTTCTTTTTTAACAGCGTTCAGTATTGAATCCACTTTAAACAAACAAGCCATTTACATATAAGAATACAAATCAAACATCAAAAAGTGAAATGAAGTAACAAAATTCAAATAAAAAATAACACAACTCGCCTTGAAAGATCAACCACCCAGCAAAGAAAATGAAGGAAAAGATGGCCATTTAGACATACCCATTCAAAAGAAATGATAAACTTCTGACAACCTGAGATAATTTATACCTTAGTCTCCATAAGTTCATTTAGAGACTTAGCAGCTTCATGTAGCTTCAGCTTTGCTTCCTTTTCCTGCTCTTTGGCTTCCATGTATTTTGCCTTCTTGATGTCATACTTCAGCCATGGTAATTTTTTCTTCATAGATTCAGCCTGGTACCACATAAATGGAATTTATCCCAAACATGCTAGAGAAATATGATTAAACCAACTTGAACAACAGTTTGGCTGAACCAAGACGAGATGAGACCATATTTGTTAAGGTAATCAGCTATAGCAATAAGTGCAGTAAACCAGGTAAGAGTGTCCGAAGCCACAGATTCATCTACGCATTCCCCCCATGTGAAGTTGCATAAACGCAAGCAATTGCAAATCATTAAAAGTCATCAGAAATTAAATATGCCTCATGATTTAGCCTAGCAAATAGATCTACACCATATATGTACATTGTGCAGAAAAATAAAATTGTGGCACTTAAATCAAAAGTGACATAATAATACTTCCTTTGCTCCCATAATTGAAAGATACTGGCTCTGCCATTGGGAAAAAATAATTGCTGGATCTCTGGAAAATATGCTCCTCTTGCTTTCCTTATGATCTCAGACCTGCACAAATAGAAGAAAGAATATTAATATCCTCCAATGCAATTACTAATAAGTTTTTCCCGTCCTACACTACCTTCTAATTGAACAAAATGTCGAGATCTTCTCTTTCCCGTTTGTAGATTGATATCCAATGCGCCAACCTCCATCCGTTCTTCTCTGCGCCCTTTATTATTCGTAAACATTGAAGCCTGAAAAACACAGGTGAACAATTAATAAAACTTATAAGCAGTTCATCAAAATAGCACTACTTCAAGATGTGGGCCAGACTTTTATCAGAATAATTCCTTTCTTGTTCAGAGCCATATGCTTCACAAAGAAAACAAACAGAAAATAAGAAGAATGGGAAGAGGAAGCTGGTGATTATCTCCACAAATTACCAAGTGTCAGAATATTCAAAACCCAATATTACACTTCATAACAATGGTTGTATCTATTGCCATCAAAACAGAAAAGTCGCACTTCCAAGCAATAATAAAAGACCATTTAAACAAACTTATTACAATTTCTATTTAACCCAAAACAACACCGTTCACTTATCTAAAACGACGTCACCTGCAATTCAAAATTCAATTACTTCGGTTGGCTCTTTCCCTCTTCCTTCTTCTTCATCCTGGTTCTGGTCTTTCTTCTTCCCCACTGGTTCTGTACCTGTCAATAAACTGTGTCAAATTCTGATCTATTTGCACTGCATTTGTACTATTTTTATAACCCACCTATTATCACACCCTAAAAGAAAACAAAAATCATGCACCAGCACCACCACCGACAGTGTATTCAAAATGAGAAAAATAGAGAACCTGACGTGTCCAGAAGTAAGAGACGGCAAGTATACAGAGAGCCCACCAGACGACAAGTCCCAGCACCACAGGGGCAGCGGCGTCAGCTCATCAGCATCGTCGATTCATCTACAGATCGGAAAGTTTGAGGCCTTCGCGACTGTGTAAACCACCCATCGTGGCTGCGGCGGATATGGCCTCGAATCCTTCTCCTTCGTCTTCATTTGTGGGCGTTGGAGGATAAGGGCCAAGGGGACGAGAGAGAACGAGAGTGAGCCTTTGGTCTGCTATTTGGGTATAGGGTTTCAACCGTTGATCTGAACGTGAAGTTTTTATTTTTAGGGGGAAATAGAAAAATTCTAGTGGGAAGTGAAAATTTAAGTAGGGGG